TATTTTAACAATTTTTGTTTATAACAATAAAATTAATAACAAATAAAATAAATAACCTATAAAAATGTGTTGCTCAATAAAACCAGAATGTTATAAACAACTTTCACATGTATGTAGTTTATTTAAAGCGAAAATATTAATATATGTGTTTTATGCTCTTACAACCTCCTTAAGAAGAGCCCGCTCACTTCAAATTTTGATAAAAATACACTGAATGATGCATTTTCGCAAAAATAAACATTTGATAAGAAAAAAGTGTCGCTCTGCTTCGTAAACCGAAATTTTTTAACCCTTATCGTACCATCTACAATTTGGTGCCTCATCCATACCATCAAGGGTCACTTCAAATCTCTTCGTTTCTTCACCTCTTCAAAATAGTTTAAAAAATTTCAAAAAATTCACCAACCTACTTTCAACTTTCTAGAATAAATATTGACTCTTTATTTTGAAAAATAATAAAATGTAGTATAATTTATAATTACCGAAAGACTCAAAGAAACTTGCACGAACAGGAATTTCTCGGTCACTAGTTACCCATATTAGTACGGTAAGGTTAAGTTAATGACTGTTCAGTTTAAGAAATCTGTCACAGTAGTGCGATCTGTCGAAGTACTGCGATGCAAGCATGCGCTAAGGTCACATTTTCACTATGACCGCGTACGAATGCGTTGTATTTCTTATTGTAATAGATGTTATTCACTGCTTTACAAACACAAATTCACTGCTTTAAAAATAAATTATCTGTTCTGAAACACAAATTTACTGTTTTAAAAAGCACAAATTCACTGCTTTGGAACAAATTCTCTACTCTAAAACACAAATTCACTGAATTTGTGTTTTTAAAGTAGTGAATTTATGTTTTAAAACAAATAATTTATTTTTAAAACAGTTTTAGAACAGATAATCTGTTTTAGAACAGATAATTTGTTTTTAGAACATGTTACAACTTTCCTTAGCTCTGTTTCATTATCATGCCCCAAATCGGAGCAAGATGTACTAATTCAGATTTTGATATTTTTCTTATAAACAGTCTAAAATTACACCTTTTTGCAAATAGTACCACAAATCTAAATAGTTGTTACGTCATGTGCATTAAAAGAAATAAATATATATATTATATACATAAAGAAATATATGTATTTTTATAAAAATTTGTACAACTATTCCCAGTCTCCCCTATCTACTAAATGTAACACATTTATTAGATACAAGAACCATTAGTTTGATTTAACTATTATTTTCTTTATTTAACTAAATATTTATTTATCGCACTGGAAGAAAAGATTGGCTGCAGCAGCGAATTAGATGGTAAAATATGGCATATCATTTTTAATTGGCTGCAGCAGCCAATTTTATCTTCTAATTTGAAGCCAATTAAA